GAGGACCACTGGAGAGGAGCAGTGGTCAAGCAAGAAGCTCATCACAGAGAAGATCGTTACAGCCAGAGGACGGTCAGTTAGATGCTGGCAGAGCCATCCCCGTCATCTGCCCTGCAATGGATCAGCATGCAGGACCTCCTTCTGCATTACCTGGTGCTGGTGAGTATCCTCCACAGCTTCTTTCATTAATTTCTGAAGTGTTAGTGAGGACAGTTAGGGAATTAAATGTAGTTAGTAATGTTGATAGTTCTAGTTCAGCTTCAATTGTTCCTGTAGTATCTATTCAGGATGATAACGCTGTAAATGATTCTGCTGTTGAAGATTCGGCTGCATTAGTGTGGGCATCATCTTGTGGCAATTCCACTGTCAGGAGAATGTTCCTCCTGTTTTGCAGACACCTTCAAGTGCAGAATCCAGTAGGGTTAGAATTCAGAACGTTCCAGAGACATGTCTTAAGGAAGCATTACCATGTACTTTGTCTCCACTGGGTTTTCATCTTTCAGTCAGCCTGAAGGAGAAGGTTTGGCGGGTGGAATTTGTGGACGTGTTATCACTTTTGCCCTCCGATAAGGAGTTTTTCCATAGGGCTGACAGAAAGAATGAAACATTTGAGGAGGATAGGAGAAGGCCTGTGACCAAATCATTCAACAATTGGTTGCAGGTCTTTTGCATATACTCAAGCATTATGAGCAAGAAATATCCAGAGAAAGGTCCGGGTCTTTTTCAGCACATAGACATAGTGCTGGAGGAGTATAAAAATTTTGGGAGTGTGGCATGGTTCGCGTATGATGATTCTTTTTGTCAGAAACTTGCTGTACACTCTTCTTTGCATTGGGGAGCTAAGGATGTTTGCCTTTGGCTGAATATTTTTCTCCCTCAAAGGCAATTCCCCTCCAGGCAGCCTACCCCACAAAGTTCAGGACCACCTACAATATTTAAAAAAGGAATATGTTTTAACTACAATGACTGGCAATGTAGATGGCCAAATTCCTGTAAATACAGGCACGGATGTGCCTTTTGTGCAGAGACACACCCAGTAGTTTTAAGAAACTATCTGCAGCAGGCAGGAAGGGAGGTTTATTGTAAGAGCAACAACTTTGGTGCATTTGCAAAAAAAATGCTTGCTTGGCTCATTCGGTATCTAGACAAACAGACTTCTCTACTTCTAACGAGAGGGTTTCATGGTTCCGTGGTTTAGGTTGTAATATTTTTCAGAATTTTAAGTCAATGAGGGGTAATGAATATATCATGAGAGAAAAGATTTATAAGGAGATAAAATAGGGTAGGGTAGAAGGCCCATTTTTTCAGCCCCCTTTTATCAATTTTAGGATTTCACCTTTGGGACTAGTACCTAAGAAGGAGCCCAACTCTTATAGATTAATTCTCCACCTATCTTTCCAGGAAGGTTACTCTCTTAACAATCAAATACAGGAGAACATGTCTTCAGTTAGTTATTCATCTTTTGAGGATGCATTAGTTCTTCTGAAAGAATTAGGCCCGGGATGTTTCCTAGCGAAAGCATATATTAAATCTGCATTCCGGCTTTTACCTATTAATCCTGCATGTTTTAACTCATTAGGTTTTATCTTTGGTGGTTATTTCTATTTTGATAATTGCCTGCCTATGGGCTGTTCTTTATCTTGTTTATATTTTGAGTGTTTTCTTCCTTTTTAGAGTGGGTGACTTCCTGGGTGTCGAGTTCTTAATTTATTTTGCACTACTTAGATGATTTCTTGTTTTTATACCCCCTGGTAGTTGGGACTGTTTTAAGTTATTAAATACATTTTTGTCAATATGTGATAATTTTGGGGTCTCTTTGGCACATGAGAAGACTGTCTTCTCATCTTGCTGTATTCAATTTTTAGGAATCGTTATTGATTCCATCAATATGGAATTTAGGCTTCTGGAGGATACAATTGTTAGACTTAAAGTTTCCCTTATTAGTCTGATTAGAAAGAAAAAAGTCATGCTAAAAGAGGTCCAAGATTTTTTGGGTTTATTGGCTTTCGCAACAAGGGTCATGCCAATTGGGAGAATTTATTTCCCGCAGAATATACTTAGAAATTTTGGGTTTGAAGACCCCTATGGCCCATGTACGCATGAAATGTGTGAACATTTATTATGGTTTGGTACCAGTTTTTAGAGCATTTTAATGGTAGGGCAGTATGGCAGCAAAATTTTATTACAAATCACAAATTTTCCTTTTGTACTGATGCGGCAGGCTCACAGAGCTTCGTGGATATTTGGAAACCCAATGGTGTGCGGAGCCCTGGGATCCTCTTTGTAAAAAAAATAGTTATTTAAAGAAAAATGTTTTCCTGGAGTTATTTTCTATAGTGCTAGCAGTGGAGGTTTGTGGCGAACAATTTAGGAACAGACATATTCTTTTTAATATGGATAATAGAAGTGTAGTCTATGCTATAAATTGTTTAACCTCAAAGTCTCCACCAGTCATAAGTCTGCTGAGGTTTTTAATATTCAGATGCTTGAGTTTGAACATTTGGATCAAAGCCAAGCATGTTCCAGGCAAAACTAATGACATAGCGGATGCAGTGTCTTGCTTCCAGATGAATCATTTCTTCAGTTTGTTACCAGACGCGGATCCAATTGGGTTGGAGTGTCCAGCTCACTTATGGAAACTCATTTATATACAGTTATTAATAATATTAAGAACTCGATTGCCCCCACCACATTGGCGGGATATCAATCAGCCTGGGGATTGTGGATCTCCTTTTTAAATTCTTTGGGTTTAGCTCAGGATGTATTTTCAGAAGGTTTGATCTTGTTGTTTCTGAACTCTCTGTTTAAAAAAAATTACTCATGGGCTCATGTTAATAAATTATTTCAGGAGGGTCATTTTTCTTTAAATTAAATAGCTTACCCTCTGGTTTTAGTTTCTTCTCAGTTAAACAAGCATTAAAGGGTTACTGGAAGAGTAGGTTTATTAAAGATAGTCGTAAGCCAGTTACCAATGGGATTCTGTTGGGCCACAGAATCTGTTTATCGGTCAGCATTTGAAGCTGATTTATTTAAAGCAGTTTTTTTGGTGGCATTTTTTGCTGCTCTCAGGATTTGTGAATTGATCCCAAGTAAAAGATACAAGGCGTCAGGCCTCCAGTTTGGTGACATCATTGTTGATAATAGTATACTCAGGATTTTTGTTCGCCATTCAAAGACTGATCAGTTGGGTATAGGCACATGAATTAGTTTGAGCTTGTGCAAAAATCCTGTTATATGCCCATTTAGTTTGCTAAAGTCATACCTAATAATAAGGCCTAATTTTAATAAACAATTTTTTATCCACGAAGATGGTGTTTAAAAAATGTCAGCAGAAGCTGGAAGTATAACATATTCGCCTAACATCACATTCATTTAGGATTGGGGCAGCGACTGAGGCTTCTAGATTGGGTCTCGATGCTAGCATGATTAAAAAAATTGGTAGGTGGAAATCAGATGCGTTTCAGCTTTATGTTCGTCCTAACCCATCTATTTAAATGTTTTAGGTTATGTGAAAATTGTCTGGATTATCAGCCACTCATTAATTTATTGGGTAAATCAGACAGCAGCGAAATGAGTTTATACTGAGGACTTGGGTTTAGACCAGAAGAAGTTTAAGGTATTTTGGAGCGGCGGGCACGGCATGACTTGTTCCTCGAACTGGGCAGATTATATCAATGCTGGCCTGCCCCTGACATTTTAGTTATACATTTAGGAGGCAACGACATTGGTCAGGTGAAAATGTTAGACTTCCTTTTTAGAATCAGGGATGATATTGTTAGATTCCAGCTCTCTTCCCCCAAAACGGTGTTGGTGTTCTCAGAAGTTATACCACGCTTAAGATGGCTGGAATCTAATTCATTACGTTCCCTGGAGAAGATTAGAAAGAGACTTAATAGGACTATTGATAAAATGTTGGCTTCATTCGTGGGTTTTTCTTACAGGCATACAGAGTTAGAGGGTGGTCTCCTTGGTCTGTATAGGGACAATGGGGTCCACCTTTCTTACGTCGGGCTGGATATATTCAATGCAGGTCTGCATACCTGTATTGAAATTGCCATGGTGCGTGGGTCTTGGTGACAGGTGTTTTCATCACCTGGCTTTTGGATATTTTAAGTTATTAAAACTACTTTGGCTTGAGCCGTAGTGGCTGAGCCATTTGTGGGTTTGGTTATTTAAATAAATTTATAGAGTTACTGGTTGTATATGTAATTGAAACCAATAATAAACGGCAGTGGGCTCTTTTGTCAAGCCTGGTTTGATTTGTCATTATTTATTTAGGTAGTTTAAATGGTATACCTGCTGCCTGCTATCCCATGAAGGAAAAGGGGGGGAAAAAAGTTTCTAGGCTATCCTTTCCTCATGGCACTGCAGCAGTGGAGTTTCAAGCCTCCCTAACTTGTAAAGTGAGCGGGAAGGCTCCTGATAGGTCCCCTGGCCTTAAAAACAAGTGAACTTTTGTCCCCAGGGGCTGCTGTGGCGGGAAATAGGGCTGTATAAAGAGGTCAATTACCCCTCCGTTTAGGCGCCCCAGAAGGCATAGTCTGTGGTGCTCCCTCCCATCTGGATGTTGTGGCCATTATTATATGATAGTCTCATCTTTAACCACTTGCCTACAGGGCACACTATACCCCCTTCCTGCCCAGGCCAATTTCCAGCTCTCAGCGCTGTCACACTTTGAATGACAATTGCGCGGTCATGCAACACTGTACCCATATGAAATTTTTAGCATTTGTTTGTGACAGATAGAGCTTTCTTTTGGTGGTATTTAATCACCTCTGGGTTTTTTATTTTTTCTTAAACAAACCAAAAACCACTGAATATTTTGAAAAAAAAAATGTTTTTTCTTAGTTTTTGTTATAAAGTGATTTTTCTCCTTCACTGATGTGCGCTAATGAGGCTGTAGTGATGGGCACTGATAAGATGCACTGATGGACACTGATATGTGGCACTGATGGGCACTGATGAGGAGGCACTGATAGGTGGCACTGATGGGCATTGACAGGCATCACTGATGGGCACTGAAAGGCAGCACTCATATATGGCACTGATATATGGCACTGATAGATGGCACTGATAGTTGGTACTGACTGGTACTGTTAGGTGGCACTAACTAGCACTAATAGGCAGCACTGACTGGCACTGATAGGCGGCACTGATGCGCACTGATAGGCGGCACTGACTGGCACTGATAGGCGGCACTGATAGGTGATTGGACACAGCTGATCACATGACCGAGCCGACATCTTCGGCTCTTTCTGTGGATTGGTGATCTGCTGTGTCTGAAGGACACAGAGCACTGCCGATCGTTCCCTAAACCGGCCATGCGCGGTGAGAATGGAAGGACGTCAAAAGACGACGTATCAGAACGAGAGAACCACCTTGCGCCCGTCATTGGACTATATGGCGGGCGGGAGGTGACTAAAGGGGGACAGTTTTGTTTATGGAACCCAAACTGTAGTGGTTGGGCTTCCTTTTTTTTAAGTTATGTTTTATATAAGTATTAATATGAGGGATAGTGGCTGAGCCATTTGTGGCTTTGGTTATTTAAATACATTTATAAAGAGTTAATGGTTGTATATGTAATTGAAACCAATAATAAACGGCCACGGCCTATTTTGTCCAGCCTGGTTTGATGTGTCATTATTTATTTAGGTAGTTTAACCACTTCAAGTCCAGACACTTTTATCCCCTTCCAGGCCAATTTTCAGCTTTCAGTGCCATTACACTTTGAATGACAATTGCACGGTCATGCAACACTGTACCCATATGAATTTTTTAGCATTTTTTGAGACAGATAAAACTTTATTTTGATGGTATTTATTCACCACTGTGATTTTTATTTTTTTGCTATGTAAATGAAAAAGTAAATTTTGAAAAAAGTGTTTTTCTTATAAAATTTTGCAACTAAATAATCTTTGTTCATAAATCTTGGCCAAAATTTATTCCGTTATCGTTATAGTAAAAAAAAAATAACCCAAAGTAGTTTATAACCAAAAATTATCATTTTTAAACTTTTTTTTTTACATTTTTTTTTTCTATAGTATTATTCATGTTTTTTTTTTTACATACTGTCACCGTAGCAGTAGAGTGTCACCATGCTGACACTGTACTACTTGTGGGGGGTGATGAAGATTTTTTTTTTTTACACTGATTGCTTTTACACCCATAAAGGCTGTAAAAGCAATTATTTCTCCTTTTCTCTGGCTGCATTCCTGCAGCCATTGAGAAATACTGTGAGAGCTGTGATTGGTCACAGCTTGTCACATGGTACAAGGCTGTTGTGAATAGCATTGTACCATGTGACCTCTGTGATCATTCACAGATTTCACACATAGTAAGCAATGATGTCAGAAGTGACATCTTGCTTACTACTCTGCATGTGATCACTGATTGGCCAATCAGTGATCACATGATCGGGACCTCGCACAGAGGTCCCGTCCGACGATCGACGTTCCACTGTGTCCGGAGGACACAGCGGGCACCGGATCGCAGTGCTGCGCGCTCCCAGGGGCCGCACACAAGCAGGGGGCAGGGAGGCCGTTTATAAATGGCCACCCGACCCTGCACTGCCATCGTTCATGAGGTTGTGAAATCGGCTTCTAGCAAAGTCCATCCAGGTCCTCTGCCCTGACACTACTAAGGCCTCTAGAAAAAACTGTACAGGCCGTGGGATGCCTAAAGGCAGCAGCCCTTCAGGTTCTGGAGTCTTTCTGGGGATAAGGAACCCAGTTCTCCAGTGCTTCAAACGATTTATCACCATTCCAACCCCTTTTTGGACACTCCATTCAAGGAATTGGCTGTACTCTGATACATATTCAGGCTGGTTATTTTGAATCTCCCACCCAAAGCTCTGGAAGATCCTTCCAGAGGCAAGGGAAAGCAATCAAACTCCCAGCCTGTGAAAAATCAAACAGACCAGGCCAAGCAATCACTGCTCTCTTAATTACAGAATGAGCCATAAACTAAGTGTATCTAGCATCCTACGCTAGGAGTGTGCTACACAGCCTTTCTGTGCCACACTTCAACGGATTCTTTCCAGGCTACCTCCAAATATCTACTCCAGTCACTGGGCCTTTGGCACATGCCCCAGGCAAGGCCCAAATGGACAGACAATCTAAACACACATCCAGTCCAGCAAAAAACCCAGGAAGACTCTAGCAAGGTTACCTAAAGGTTTATCATCTCCCACACTATACCTCTGAACGAGGATCATTAGGGATTGGTTGGGTCAGATACATATTTACAAGAACATAGGGCAGTCTCATATTCTCCTCAATGACCATGCCAGCACATGGTCCTTTATCAGTAAGCCTATCTTGCACTGTCTTGGGGTATTCTAGGACTGGCCCCTTTTTAATAATTCCAGAGGCCTCACTTTCCAGCACACATGTGGTTTCAGGAGAGCTGGCAGGTCTGTGTCTTCTCAGATTCTTAGTCAAAGCCCCTTTATTGTAACTGTGGAAGTCTGACCGCCCCTGGGTCAAGGCAAGAGCCTTCAATCCCAGGTTCAGCTGTTGTAGTTGTTCTGGATCTGAGGTGAGGAGGTAAGTGCATACAGGTCAGGTCAATCTGCAGCGACAAGGCTGGCGCATACAGATCAAACAGACTAAGATGCCAGCTTCCCTGATTGTAAATGATAGGAGGGTTTAATTCTGCTTTAACTACCTAACCATAGTCATACTGCTGCTTAGAAAAAGCCACAGCACTATGCTTTTCAATGTACATAGTAACTTGCTTGTTTCAGGACAAAGCAAGCAAAGCCCCTTCATTTTTTTTTGAATAGAAACTTCAATAGCTGTACTTTAGCTATCAGTCATGATTGGATCTACTTAGACACAGCATGGCTCTTCAGGACTCCCAGTGATGTTAGAGCAAGGCCTGTGCAAACAACAAATCATTCTAGGTGCCTGATTTTGGAGATCAGTTAATTTGTATGTCAGCAGTCTTTTCAACTTTGGAAATTACCACACATAATATTGGAGAATACATTTCTATTGCCATTAGAAATTATGGATATTTTTGTTTAGACAAGTTTTTTTTAAAGCTTTGTATATTTGTTGGGCTGTCAGTATAGATTTTGGAGAGTTATGAATAGGTAGCAACGCTGGCCAGCCACAAACCAATCCTGCCAACAGCAGAATGAACATCCTCATTTGTTTGGTCAGATCCAAGATTTGGTGTTAGAACTGATTGGCGGGATAACACAAGGCCTTGTGAATACTGGTGGCAAGTGGCCAAACGCACGGGCTAAGTGCCTAGATTCTAAACCATGCACAAAAATAATAAGTAGACTTTTAAATGAAATCATTCTGACACTTGAAACTTAATGTGCAGCATACGATGAGATGTTGGCACACATTAAATGGGAACCTTATTGCTGCAGGTGCAAAGGCTAATATTTGTCAGTGGGTTAATACCTTCTTCCGACAATCATATACTTTTAATTAATTGTACCACCATCTGTTGGATAGTCTGTGAAAGTGGAGCAAAAGAAAACTTGTAGCCTGCAATCAATTTCCAGCTGTGATTTTCTAAAGATTTTTCTGTTGCTATGGGCAACACCAATTTTTTGCTGTCTTCTGGTTTATAAAATATTCCTGGTTTAAATGTTTCTTCTCTGTGAATGATATAGAAAAAAAATTATATAGAATTATAGAATGGTTACTTTCATATGGTCCCCAATAAATGAACAAATCTTTTGAAATCTCTCTTCAGCTGTGGACCAAGTGTCCAAGTTTACCTAACATGATAACAAGAGTTGTCATTCACTGACAACAACAATACTAGGGTTATGGTAATAATTTAGAAATACAGATGTTCTGCATATACTATACAGAGCAAAGTATAATATAAATGTATTAGAGGAAAACCACATTCATTTCTTATAATGAAGTGGACCAATAATGCTGTTGTTCTTGCTTTTTATGGAGATTGTTTAGCCTATTTCTGCTAAGGAAATCAATACAACCAGTCACACTTATTAATGTGAATAATGACTTGCAGTTACTTTGTCCGAGGAAGCAAAGACATCTAGATTACCAGGTGATGCAATATGTTGAGCAGAAGGAATGTTTATGAAGGACATGTACCATCTACATTTCAGCAGATGGTCAGTAAATTAAGTCCTAATCTGAAGGAACAGTGGACATCAGCCACTTGTTTCTCTGTGGAATTCAGGGCATATATGCCATTTTAGAAAGAATCTAATGAAACACAAGATTCACCACAATCATTTATACTTGATAGGTATCAGGTACTAAGCTTTTAAAAAGGTAAAACATTTCCTAGAAAAGTTTCCAGTAAATTAATGTCTTTAAAGTGGTTGTAAACCTCAGAAATGAAATCTGTACAAATCATATCCCTCTATAGTGTGTACTTGTCTCAGTTAAGAGCACTAACTGTAATTTCTGTCTGCTTTGTTCTTCTGTTTTCAGCATGAATCACCTCTGAAAAGATTTTCTGACACCAAGAGAAAAACAGTGACAGGGTAGGGACCCCGGGATATTGACAGCCTGTTTCTGTGAGCTGTGTGGAGGGGTGTCTGTCTCTTTTCTCCAGTCAGCTCTCAGACCATTCCTCATTGAGCTCTGCCTGTGTCATTTCAGCTCTCTGCCCCCATTTTTTCTGAACTCCCAGACACGCTTTTTAAATTAAGTACTTTGAATGGATGTGGAGAAGAGAGGGCTGCAGATAGACAGATACAACTTATGTAGGAGGATTTGTTTAATCTCTGTGTATCACCTGAGGCCAGTCACTTAACTGGGTATATGTAAGGATTTACAACCACTTTAGGTATTCAACAAGTAACAAGAGTTCAGTAACCTTTAACAACCAGATTTTCAGATTTTGTTATAGATTAATAAGGAAATGATTCATATTTGTGTGCTGTAAGCCACTGCATTTTCACAGTCTTGAATAATAAGCTGTTGAAGTCTGCCAGCATCATGGTACAGGATCAATGACACCATTTTTAAATGCAGAAATATGTATACATTTACTGGAGGAGCTATTTCTCTAGAGCTGCCAATTGGATTCTGATTTTCTGGGCATGTTTAAATATGACTGGCAGCTGTGTTGAAGTAACATCGGTTCTTGGTTCATGGATTTTTATTAAACAGCTTATTCACTATCAATAGCCCGTTGGATTTTTTGCTGTATTTATTAAATGGATTTTCCAGCCAGATTCTTCCACTTTTGCTGGATTATGTAGCAATCACTACTGTTTGCTTAACATCTGGATTTACCTTTCTTAAATGGGAAACACAGGTCTAAGTAGCAAATGCTGTATTTATAATAGTT